CAAATAAAATAAGAGATAAACAAGCTGGAACAATACGGACGTAGAAATTACCTCGAGGCACATAGTCTTTGCCAAATCTCGGAATGAAAACCTACTAGAAAAGCTGAACATACTCGCCGACCGCATACAAGTGCCCACACTAACAACAGATAACGTAGAAGCAGTTCACCGCATCCCCACTAAAAACAAAGAAAACATCTATGGTGATAGTACGCTTTACCGAGAGAAACGATCGAGATGCGTAGCTTAAAAATAAGCAGAAACTGAGGACTGGCGCAGAAGTAGATAATGTCAATCTAGAAGAGAAATAGCCGGATTCAAACCGGAAGTTGTTTTTTGATGTCAGAACGAAAGCAGGACACCTCCGGTACAAGTTCATTAGGCATAAAGAAGGATGCTCGCATGTGCAAAAACGAGAAGCAAAAACGAGAAGGATGCTCGCATGTGCAAAAATGAGAAGAGAAGAAAACGAGAAGTGTTGGAATTGAGAACGAAAGTGACCTTCCAAAAGGTAAATGGTGAGTACATTCACCGGATTAGAAATCAAACAAAAACAAATTTATCTTTTTTTTTTTTAGTGGCGGGATATTATAAGAACACCTCTGCTAACAAGTTGCTTTGTTTTTTTGCACACTAATGTACGCAGTCTTAGAGAAATGTTTGAATAAAATTAACAGCCTGATAAGTCCTTATCTGGACAATATAGATATAATTGTATTCTCGGACACAAATATTACATCGGAAGAAGAGACCTCGTTCTCTCTATATAATTTTGAGAGGTTTTCGCATAATAGAGATGGGAATAGAGGAGGTGGTGTCTTGATCATGAGAACATCAAAAGTGGAAAATAACCAAACACGAGAAAGTAAACTTCTGCTCAACAGAGGCATTTCACATTGAAATTGAAGACCACGGAAAAAAAACATCTATACTAGAATTATATCGAGCACCTCAGGGGAATGTAAACATATTTTTAGATGGTATCAACAAATTGCTAAACATCAACAAAGACACAGACTTGATAGATGTGGGGGGTATTCATCTGGACATCACAAACCTAGCTTAATTATAAATAATTACCTAGATGATATGGCACAAGCGGGACTGGAGTCGATGATATTGCCGCGCGCTGTGCCGGGAAATCAACGCTCGGCCACGGAGCTCTAGAACGTTCCCTCTTATTCTTGTTCCGGACGTAACTTCCATCCTTTATTCCTGCTTTCTTGTTCTAGAAAGTGCGTGTTCATTCTTGCCCCGAGCGCGCTACGCTCGAACGCTCTCCGCCGAATCTTCGAGATAGTGACTCACTCTTGATAAGAGGCCGCCCGCGACCTTGCCGAGTCAGTTTCGCCCCAGCGTTCGACTCTGCTGCTACGCCGACTTCGACGCCCGCGACGCTCTGCTGTTATCTTTTGTTCCCTTTTTATTTTTGGTTGGCACAAGTTCGCCCTTATTAAACGTTTCAGTTTCGCCAGTTATTTTGTTTCCTCGCCTGTTCATTCGCGACAATATATGAATTCACAAGAGAAAAATATTAGGCGAGAAACTAACACAGTCGTGTCTAGATCATATACATGTATGGTCTAAAGAAGGGACGCCTGAAGGACCAGTCGTTTATGAAAAAGTGGCTGACTATTATTTTGTGGCAGTAACTATTGCAGATCTTATTCAAAACAGTAATAAAGCTATCGAAGGCTCTTTTATAAATAATAATATTGCCGATAAACATAAAAAAATAGACTGGAACGTTGCCGCCAAAGAACAGAACCCAGAAAAAGTAGACGACAATATTGTTAGTACATTCTAAGATATTTATGTAAAGTAAACTCAAAGAGGAAGTACGAGAAAAACGTAAAGAACAGAATCAATGACTAACTAAAGAAATTGATGACCTGATCAAAGCAAAAAAAGAAAGCTTGGCAACTACTGAAACAATTTTCTAATAATAGGAAGACAAAGAAAATTACAAAATAATAAAAAATAAATTCACATCACTAATAAGATGATCAAAGATGAATTGTTATTTAAATAAATTCCCGGAGATAAAAGATACAGCACAATGCTGGTTTTTAGTAAATAAACTGTTACAAAAAAAAAAAACGATTGAAGGCATCATTCAAACAAACTTTGGTCCCAAACACGACTTAGAGGCACTAATAAATAGCTTTAGTACCGAATATGTGCAGTCAATTGAAACTCTCTGCGGTATGACAAATGAAAGCAGTCAAATCAAATAAGAAATAGTGATTAAACATTTGTTTCCAATATGGATGTCAACGATGTAGTTGAAATTGTAGAACAATTAAAGACTAATAAAGCAACAGGGCTGGATCAAATTAGGGATAGAGATAATAAATACTTCATCACTATAATTCAACCTACAGTATTACAGTTGTACAATCGTATATTTTCTTGCGGCATCATCCCAAAAAAGCTTGGAACATCCGTCGTTCGGCTGATATTTAAAAAAAGGTGAGAAAAAATAAATTCCTAAATTATAGACTAGTATGCATCGTTTCGGTGGTAAATTATATAATGAAAAACATATTAATAATGTAATTCGGTGCTATATCGCAAAATATAGCCTATTAACTTTCACGAAATATGGATCCAGGGAACATATAGGAACTAGTGCCCCTCCTGAAGTGTTTTTTTTACTATGTAAATAAATACATGGACACCGGACACTATGTTCTAGTTGGATACATAGATTTTAACATGACACTCTTAACAATAAATCATGATATATTAATGAATGAACTATATAGTATTGGGATTCAAGAGAAGACACATGATTTATTTCGACATTATCATACTGACCAATTTCAGGTAGCACGTTTAGGCTGAAAATATAGCAAATAAATTATGGTCAAACAAGGAGAAACACCAGCTGCAGTCCTGGGTCCACTACTTTCTAATATATATGTTAGCGAGGTAGCAGAGGTTAGGTTGATATGTAAGCTCCTTCAATTTGTAAATGACACGGTAATTGTATACCCCATTGAAATCACGAAGTAGCGGCAATGACGATTCAAGATTTTATACATGACATTATTCAATGGTAGCGTAAAAACCAAATAGTTATAAATGTTCCTAAAACGCAAGTAGTATTCTTTATAAATCCAAAGAAAAAGAATCGTAAATGAATTTCCAATAAAAATGCATGATCAGATCTGGAACAACTGCTTGTGCATCCCGTTAAAATACGCTGATAATGTCAAATACCTGGGTGCGCATATAGACACACATGTTAAATGGGATATTCACATAGACCAGGTTTGTAAAAAGTAAGGGTAATAATGGCACGTATGTACCATATCCAAGGACTAGTACTGCGACCCTTACTTAAATGATATACAAAATACGATGCACTGTGGAAATCCATACTTCAATATAAAATAACAGTTTACGGGCACTGAGCCAAACATTTACAGCTAAAGATAGAGTCTATTCAAAAAAGGATAGTTTTGAATATTGGTTACCGAAGCAAAGAAACTAATCTCTCAGATTATATGCATAAAGACCTAGAAATGCTAGGTTTCAGAGATCCTATGTAGTATGATATTATTATAAAACATTTTTTCGACAACAAATATGAGCGGGAAAATGAAAAAACACACTAAGACCAAATAAATATTTTTTTAACCATTTACAAGGACAAAATATGGAGAGGCAACAAGTAAATATTACGTAGCACAGCTTTTTATTAAATTACCGGATGAGCCGCATAAAATAAAATTCCGTAGAACAAAAAAAAACAGCAAAAAGATGAATAATGTATCAGGGAAAAAAGACCCATAAAATGTAATAGGAAGAAAAAATGGAGTATCCCCGAAAACGCATAATATAAAGGTTGTCTTTCCTGTCATTTATTAGAATTACCTTGTAACATATCCTAGTATCCTTCAAAATATGCAAATATACTAATCCAAAATTATTTGACTTGTATTACATACGTGCTCATCAAGTTAGAGGAATTTATGTAGGCTGTAAAAGGAGGTGGCAGTGCAGTAATTTATACTTATATTGGTATGCTCTCTTGTTTCTACTTATCTGTGCAATACAAAGCAGAGGCCCCTGTCGCGTCCCACGCACAAGCCATTATTGGCTTATGTTGGCTGTATATTGTATTATTTTCCAAGAAAGTAAATAAAGATGTTTTTTTTTGTATCGGATTGAATTGTGTTGTAAGTAAGCGGGAAAAGAGGGCACAATAAACTGAATATCGGTTACGGCGGCGCCCATGCACAGCAGCTGCAAAGAGTCAATGGCTGCATTTACATGGATGCGACCGTAGCGCATCGAGTCGAGATTTCACGATTTTGATTGGTAGCAGTTGGGTAGAAGAGGAAGAAGTAAAAAGACAGGCTGCGTGTCATTGGTCCCTGCTTGATTCGATGCGCTACGATCGCATTCATGTAAACGTAGCCTATAAAGCGGGGCCGCGAATCGAACTCTGGGTGTCCTCCTTCCCAGTGAAATGGTGAGGACAGACAGCGTCTCTACAGTAGAGGCGCTGTCTGTTCTGCTATTTGCTCTTTATCTGTTAAAAAAAGAAATCTCCTTCTGCCCCAGTTTCGGGTTAAAATCATTATGATTGGTTTTTCGGCGTTTTTATCGACGATTTCCGCATCTGGTCGGCTGCGGAGCGGTAATGAGTTGCACGACGATCCCCCCCTTTCTTAAGCTGGCAAAGACTACATCCACTGCTCTACTCCTCTTTGACTTTTGGAGTTCTGTGTCTTTCTTACGTATGCACCGAAACGGAATGCATACAATTAGGGGTGTTTTGGAGGCACGTGTCCACGCGAGGAACGCGGTACAAACTTTTCTGGCAGCTGTTACGCGCTCCTTGTGCTCCAGAGATCCTCCCATTGTTTTGCCCGCCACGTGTACATGCTCACACTCCTGTTTATGAACTTTCTGTTTATGGGTACATTTATGTTTACATGCTGATGTTGATTGGTGCGCGTGTTGTGTTTTTTTTTTTTTTTTCGCAGGTGTGGTGGTATACATGGCGCACGGCGTGTGGCACAGCAGCGAGAGGCACAACGAGGACCCTGATTGCTCCCTGCTCGAGAGCGTGGGCGGTATCGGGGACGATTTCTCGGACGACCTGCTGCCCATGTCCGAACAGCGCCGGGAGGTGCTCGTCGAGACGTTCTGAACGAACGCCGGGACTCCCGTCAATAAGAGACGCATTCGTCGGTCGCCTCTGAACTTCTAGAAATACGTGTCTGGATGTTTGTTTGTCACACGATAGACTATACTGCTTCACGCTCTCTGGGCATTGGTACTTTACCAGCGATCTCTTGGATCGTTGGTAAAGTAATGCGGCGTCAGCAACACGGCGCAAAAAAAAAGAAGAAAAAAGCAAGTGTATGAAAGTAGAAGACCTGTCCGATTAATATTTTTTTTAGAGCGCAGCTCTTAGGCGCCCGTTCCCGGGTTGAGCAGCGTCGGCGACGGGCGTCAGATGTGACGTCACGTCACGAGGGTCACGAATGACATCACGAGGGTCACCAGTGAAGTCATGAGGGTCACGTGTGACGTCACGAAGGTCACCAGTAAGGTCACGAGTGACGTCATGAGTGATGTCACGAGGGTCACTAGTGACGTCACTAGGGCCCTGATTGACGTCACGAGGGTCACGTGTGACATGACGGGGGTCACTGGTGACGTCACTAGGGTCACGAGTGAAGTCACGAGTGTCCCCCGTGACCCTCCCCTTCTCCTCAAGAGCTGCGCTCTTATTCGGCATTACAGAGAATTGTAAACGTCTTTCATTTTTTTAAGTCTTTTTTTGGCGCTGTTTTATATTTAGTGCCCCTTTCTGTAAGGCTCTTGAAAGCAGTAAGCGAACAGCGGCTGCTTGTGATTTAATTGCAGGCTTCTTTTTCTTTGGCGGTAAGCTTCGTAGCGATAAAAAGCCAATCGTTCTCCAGAATACACAGAAAGAATGAAACACATGAAGGACGAACACAGACACACACAGTTCTTTGATGTGTTTTATTCTTTCTGTTTATTCTGTAGTTTTCAACGCGCTCTGCTACGTGTACGAATCGTTCTCCTAGCGCTAGTTAACTTTTCCATAAAGTTTTCTTATAAATTATCGTATGACTTGCATTGCTCTCTGCAACTTCCCATGTGTTCCGCTGAGACATCTGGAGCATCTACTTACCCGCAAAGCCTTTGGGATAACCAGTCGTTGGAATTTGCCAAGTGAGCTCGGCGAATGACGTGGCTGATAACATGTTTACACCGAGAGAAACAGTCTGCACTGTGACACTACTCAGATGATTTCTCTAAGTCTAAACATATTTGCAGCCACGTCATTTGCCGAACTTCACAGATTGCAGTGAATGGATCTCCAAGTGATTCAAGAGAAAGTAGACGATTCAGATTTCTTGAAGTAATAGCTTTACTCTACTTTAGTTTTGAACTTAATCATACATACGTTTAGGCATGCTACGGGACAGGCGTGATATCATCACCGATAAACATCGCTGAGTTGAAATTGCCCGCCTTATGAACTTCGCTTTATTGTAGACGAAGTTGAACTTGAGTTTCAGACACCCCAACATTTCTTTTCTGCAAAGTTATTGTTTAATTTCTTTTTACTACAAGAGAACATGAGTGCCCGCAAGAAGTAAAAAACAGTGCCATCGCCTCAACCAAGAGCTTTAGCCCATGTTTTCTACGAGGAAACTCCAGAAGTTCACCTAACGAAGCCACTGAAAAAGCGACGACTAATATACAAAGTAGTGAAATGAAAAGAGTAGGTCAGAGACGACAAAACGGAGGACCACACAACATCGAACTTCAATGTTCCGGTGATATTCTATTTGCCCAAATCCCCGTGTTCCCTTTTCTCGTCCAATACATGGCCGTGCAATAGAACTCCTTGTCTGTCAAACATTTGGGAATAAGAAACCGTCTAACAAGATTTTACGTATTTATTTGTAATATTTTTACTTATTACCCGTGTAATAGGTAAACAAATCAAATATTTTTGGCAAAGAACAACAAAACACATCGCAGTGAGCAGGAAAGTGAACACTGCTTCTTTAGTGTGGCCCCTTCAATGTTTTCGCCTGTGTTCAGGAGTTTCGCCCAGACGTGCATTTCTTACTTCCGATTTGTGCTGCATCGACTCAAGAATGGCCTAGATTCGCGCCGAAAATGCGGTTAACTTACTATGCCGTGTCTGTCTGTAGAAATCAACAATGTTGTGGTTCCACGTGTAGTTTTGTGCGATCGAGGCATTTTACGTGCCCTAGCGGCAAGTAAATGCTTTCGTGAAAGTTTTGTAGAAAGCGTGTTTGCGTCTAGAATAAATGATCTGCGTTCAATTGAAGCCTTTAAAGAACGAGATTTTATATTTATTTATTGTTCAGACAGCTATTATACAAAAACATGCAGCAGAAGCAAATTAACGACAGAAATATGCTTTCTAACAAAGGAATGTCGAGATTGCGTTAAGAACTACGGCAACACTTCCAAACTTCGTAGAAGAAAAAAAAAAAGATACTCTCAGATTAATTATGAGGCCGATTCCCTTGATTTTCACGTAAGCCTTCTGGAAATTGAGTTGCTTTTATTTCTCCTATTTGTACTTTCTTGAGGATTTTTCATTCCGCTTTCTCCATAATTTAGTGTCGGCTTTTGTATTTCCTTTTTAATGTATACGAGGAGGCAATTCCGTCTTACCGAATTGAGTGTTTATTTTTCTTAACACATCAAGTCAGTTACGCAGAAACTGAGTATTTCTCCGTTGATTGAATGATAAATGGTGTTATTTAAAGTTTAACAAAACACACCTAGACATACGCACAGTGCGCACTCCGTTTTCTCATGAATGCCTTGTGAGTAGCAAATGCCTCACTTAAAAAATACGGTTCTCCGGAGTCTAGCAGTTTCGAGCAACGTCCCTCTATTAGTTATTCTTTAGCGAAGTCCATTATTTCATTGCGTTTGTTTTTGTTTCCTAACACGTTTTGTTTCAAATATTTACCTTACTGTATTCCTAGCGCGAGCGCAGAAAAAATTCATCTGTTCGAACCTGTAGATTTTACAAATTTTTGGACGCCCCAGCTCATTGCCGCACGGACCTATGCTGCAAGTGCGTAAAAATGACTAAGATATTTTTCTTTTTTTTTAAACATAGTGTTTTTAAGGTTTTGATTCCTTGAGGAAGGCGTGACAGAATGCCACGGAAACCGTTACGAAATGTGCAACACGCACACCAGAGGACAATCCGTACAAAACAGTGTTAAATTGAAATTAAGGAACGAAATACTAAACTTGCCCCGACGGAAATTGAACCAACTCAGAAAATATCGCTGGTCTCAGAAAAGATCGGATATCTTGGCTGAGATTTTCGCGCTAAAGTCTTGACATGCAGTGATTACTGTTTGAAGGGAAACAAAAAAAAAAAAAAAAAAAATGCACGCTGGTGTGTCTGGTATTTCCATTATTGCCCTCATAGAGTTTGCAATTTTAATGACCAACTGTACAAATTATTTGTCCTTAATAGCAGGCTTGACACATCCGTAGGGGATTGCTTCAACTATGTTTCGTATAACAATCTCTTTCGTGGAAACCGTGTGAATCATATTCAATCATAATCACCATATTCTTTACTAACACATATGATGCTCTTGTTTCACAACAAAACTTTATTATGCCTAGTATGTTCTTCTTTTATTTTTGGAGAATTATCACTTCCTAGAACAATTGATTTACATCTCTTTTCGACTCACCCGACATGAAAAGCTCAGAGTAATTCCATCTGTGTTTATGTGTGTTCATGATTGTGTGTACAGCCCCGTCAGAAAGTGAACACGTTGTTTCTCAATGTTCCTCAATTAGCGAATCGGAAGAAGCCGTGGTTTGTATTGTTGCGTTAGCGACATTGAAGATTATGCATGTTTTTGAGCAATTCCAATGATTCGACGACTGTGACAGTGTTTCTAACGTGTTGCTGTTTGAAGTCACTTGTTCTTGAATGACCCAGTGTTTTCTATTGAAACTGAATGGCCTTCAGGTCTATCCGCGAACAAACCCAAAGCTAACGACGAACACTTATATGCAGACAAGGTAGCGTGAGAAATATCATCTATGCCTTTTATCGAACTGTGCCGCAATCCCTTTTTGCTGTTCTCTTTAAATAAAAGAAGAGGAGGCAGACTTGTCGTCTGCGCAATCTTCTCTTCAAGTTTCTGACGACTGTTGTTAGGTAGATTTTGTGACCGTAACACGTCCGCCCCTTTACTCCAAAGCTTTAATAATATTATGCTATGTCGGTTCGAGAGTTAAGCTTCCTTGCATTATGATGAGTGGGAAGCAGCGGAATTCATGTAAACGATCTTAAACACTAATTTGATGGCGAGTGTGAGGTTTAAAAGAAGCTTGCAGTTCGTTTTTATCCCTGAGCTAATTTTCGTGCAGGATAAGGAAAACATGCATATGTCATTTATCTCTCGCAAATCAAAATGTGAGTTGCACACGAGAGTGCTTGAAATGTGCATGGCATTAATGTTTATTGTTCACGTGCTTGTATTACGTGCTTTAAATTAACATTCCATTAATGGTTATTGTTTAATTAATTTAGAAAATGAAAAACACGTATGCTGTTTACGATTTTATCAATCAAGGCTTCACAAAGCGTGTGTTCGTTTGTGGAAATTTTTATGCACATAATGTATGAGAAATGCTGCGTACGTTAGAAGAAAGACTAGCGAGTTAGCGTCCGACCCAAAGCGCCCAAAACCTAATTTTTCCGAAGAGCTTTCACAACATTTTAAACATTCAGCTGTTGCGTGACGATTGTTTGAAATAAACTACTCACGCGAAACTGTTTCCAACTTCGCCTGCTTGTCTTTTTTCTCGACCACACTGAATGCTTGGCTCGCCGTGACTTTCTCATTACTCCTTTTGTGCTTCTAGAGCACTACCTTCCGAAACAAGCAAATACTGGCCTGTCATATGCAGCCCTTACAAGTTGATGTACCATTATTGCATGGCCGTGGCATCATAGGCATGTCATTGAAAATACACCGTCTAACTCTTTTTGTCCATGCAGGGTCTCTTAGAATTTTTCAGTGATTATTGCTGCCTTCAAGTAAGTATTTTTAATCTTGCTTTCAACTTATTAGCTCTTCACTC